TAAAACATTCTGCTAAAACGTAGCTTATGGACACCGTACTGAAAATTCGTCCTTATTTGAAAATTCGTACAAAGACCCACTGAATGTGTGAAAGCTCAGTAACGAATGGCAGAATCGCCACGACGCATTACAACTCACTGAAACATGACGTGCGTTTTAAAAATGAATGATAGGAGGAACGGTGGATTTGTATTTTCGTTAACTTTGCTCGAAGTGGATATTGTACACTTACCAGTCTTAAACGGATTGAGTAAAGTATGCTACAAATCAAAAATCAGTGCATTTTTACCTCAGTTCTTTATGAAGTGGAACGGCATCTCGTCATTCTGCTAATCTGACCTGCTCTTGTACCATGCTATCAAGACTAGTAGTAAGTCCCGTCTCTTATCGATGCAAATCCATGACAACAACCTAACTTACCTACAACTATAACTGTCCATAATCCAAAAGGCACTAACAACTCCCGGAATATTGGCCTCCTCTCAGTTCGGACCCCACAACTTTGTATCCAGAGTTTCACAAGTGCCGATCCGAATTAATGGCTGTACCTCATGTCAGGATTACAACAATAGATGTGAATATTGTGACTTTATTTTATATGAGCAAACAAAAACTTTCAATCGAGCAAACTGAACAAAAACCAAAAAACAAGCACAATAATGAACAACAACAATAAACAAATAAAGTGGATGGATGGAATAGTACAGGCACGGCAAATTTTATCACATCAGTAGATCGACTGGGTCTGTTACGTGATTTCAGACGTGTTCTTTCACCTTCGGCGTTTTCTTGGATTCGGAGCCATTGAGTATTGTTTCGAGGTTTTCGAATTGACAGCGTAATCTCGTTGACGTCGCGTATTCGCTTCGACAATTCGTTTTTCTCTACGAGCACGATGCTGAATTTTTATTCATTTTAAGATTACTGTGAGGAAGGGAGTACATTTATATTTGTCCATGAAGTTACCCACATTTCATCGCAAGCATTCAAGATTCGGTGCAAATATACCAAAATTTCGGGCAAATCTCGAAAGTTGTTCAGTTTCCGAGCATTGAATCCGCCAACATTCTATCATGTTTACCTTCGGTTCCCGTTGTTTATCACCAATATAAGCACTACCACCGCCGAACAGTGATAAGAATGACAAGAAGAACCATACTAAGAAACGTCGTAAACGTCGTATCATTGTGATGTGCAAAACGCACAATTTTCTGATCGACTTCTCGGGTTCATTCGAATGCGACGATCGCTTATTTCTTCAGACTTGTTCGCTATTCACCACCAAAAGCAACTAAACAAAGCTAATCCTTCCTTAAACTTCAAAAAAATCAACCAACTTTTCAGCGAAACACAACATTTCTCAAAATTTCA